TACATCTTGAGCAGTTAGATGTAAAGACAGCTTTCCTTCATGGTGATTTGGAGGAAGAAATCTATATGAGGCAGCCAGAAGGCTTCATAGAGGCAGGAAAGAAAAACCTGGTATGCAGGTTGAAGAAGAGCTTGTATGGTTTAAAACAAGCTCCTAGACAGTGGTACAAGAAGTTCGATAGTTTCATGGGTAGCAGTGGTTTTACCAGATGCCAAGCAGATCATTGTTGCTACATCAAGAGGTTCGACAATAGCTTCATTATTTTATTGTTGTACGTTGATGACATGCTCGTTGTAGGCTCAAACATGCAAGAGATCATAAACTTGAAGCAAAAATTATCGTAGCAGTTTGCTATGAAGGATCTGGGTGCTGTAAAGCAGATTCTTGGGATGAGGATCAAGAGAGACACAAAGTCAGGGACTTTGATGTTATCACAGGCTGAGTACATCAATAAAGTACTCTCTAGGTTCAACATGCAAGATGCTAAACCAGTAAGTACACCTTTAGGTGTTCATTTTAGACTCTCCAAAGAACAGTCACCAAAGACGGAGGAAGAACGTGCACACATGGTGAAGGTGCCGTATGCCTCAGCAATTGGAAGTCTAATGTATGCCATGGTTTGTACCAGACCATATATTGCTCAAGCAGTGGGAGCTGTTAGCAGGTACACGAATAATCCGGGCAAGGTACACTGGGAAGCAGTCAAATGGATCCTCAGATATCTGCGGGGTACCACAAACAAAGCACTTTGTTTCAAAGGTGGAGATACAATATTGACAGGCTATGTAGATGCTGACTTAACAGGAAATGTCGATATCAGAAGAAGCACTACAGGGTATGTCTATACTCTAGGAGGAACCGCAGTGAGTTGGGTTTCTCAACTACAGAAGATAGTTGCTCTCTCCACAACTGAAGCAGAATATGTCGCTGTTACGGAAGCCAGCAAGGAGATGGTTTGGCTCCAAAGTTTCTTAGAAGAGTTAGGCAAGAAACAAGAAAACAATGTCTTGTATTGCGACAGTCAAAGTGCTATCCATCTAGCAAAGAATCCGTCTTTTCATTCCAGAACGAAACACATACAATTGCGATATCATTTTATCCGGTCTCTTCTGGAAGATGTGATTTTGAAACTTGAAAAGATTAGTGGAGCTCAAAATCCGGCAGACATGTTGACAAAGACGGTGACTACAGACAAACTGAAGTTGTGTTCAACTTCAGTTGGCATGTTAGAATAACAAGACCAGAAATGTTGCTGCATCGATCGAGGTGTGAAGACAGATTAAAATCAGTCTTCAAGTGGGAGATTGTTGAAAATTAAAAAGTCACCGGCTGCTTTTAATTAGTCAAAAAGGGGGCTGCTTTGATTTCAAAGTTAGGCAGCCCATTTCTTTGAATTTTAGGATGGGATAATTATTTTGAGTCATTGAACTTTAGGGTATTTTCACAGATTAGTCCCTAAGTTTCAACTATAAATACCCTAGCTCATTTAGCTTCAATATCATCCCAAAATCTTCCAGTTCTCTCTCAAGTGTGTTTTGTAAACACTTGTAATTTTTTCTCTTCAGTAAAAGATCTGTAGCAGTCCGGAGACGTAAGCACAATTGGCTGAACTCCGTTATCAATTTTTCGGGTATTATTTTTCCGCTTTTATTTCGTATTCTCACTAATCTGACTATAGGGAAATTACTCGAACTCGATTTATTTCCTAACAACTTCTTCATCCTACTACTTGTTTCACAAGGAAGCAAATTAGACCATCAAATGCTTCAGAGCCAAATGGATGAACAAAGATAAGGCTAATTTCAACCAACCAAAGTTGATAAGACAAAAATGACCCTTGGAATCTGTTATATACCCCAACATCTATCCCTCCGGAGATACTATTCCGCACTAGGCGGCTCCACCGGGACACATACTCAGGCCACCGTCATCGGCCAACCACCGCATTAGGACGTGACAATCATCATCTTTCCCGTTGTACATCAAACTAGTTCCATAAATAGTACAAAAAAATCAAAATTTTGATTCAATGCAACTAAAAAAAGTAGTAAACCTTACCAACTTTCTAACTTTTCCTTATCATAAAAAAGAGTAAAGATTGTACCTTGAAAATCCAAATGCTATCAATGATCTCAGAACTCGTCATTTCATCATCACAATCTTCTTCTTCTTCTTCTACGTCGTCGTTTTGTTGGGTGTTAAAGCTGAAACCTTTGGAACGGATGATCTCAGCATTAGAATCCCACTTTCTTCTCTTCCTATTGCTGCTATCTCTGGCAGCGGATGAGCTGAAACGACAGTGTATATGGGAGGGGGAGGGAGGGTAAAATGGGAAATGGATGCGGGCTTTTTGTCGTTTGGTGAAGAAGATAAAGGAGGAAGAAGAAGGGCACGATTGAGCCACTGTTGTTGCTGCTGCCATCCTCGTTTTCAGATTCAGAGCTTCGGGATATTTTTTCCATTTTGCCATGTTGATATTTTCTTGGGTAAACTACGCGTTTAGTGCCTAATCCATCGGTTTTGGTTCGTTTTAGTGCCTAAACTTTCTTTATTTTTAAAATCATACCTAATGTTTAGTTTTTGTTTCATTTTAATCCCATCGTTAAATCTTTAATGTGTTTAATACCTAACCTATCAATTATGATCTATTTTAGTACTTAAACTTTCAAATTTTTTTCAAAAATTAATTTAAAGTTTTTAACAGGGTACTAAAACGAAACAAAAACTAAATATTAAATTTGGTTTTGAAAATATTAGAAGTTTAGGTACTAAAGTGGATCAAAACTGATAATTTAGGTACTAAATATATAGTTTACCATGTTTTCTTCTCCATTTACATTGGTGATTAGGGGTGAGCATTCAATCGAGTCGAGTCGAGTCAAAATTTTTTGAGTTATTTGAGTTGACGAAACGTATTTTACAACTCGAGCTTAACTTGAAATTTTTTCGAGTAGAGTCGAGTTATTCGAGTTTCTGTACTAATTTTATTATAATTATTTATAGTAGTATGGTAATGATTTGTTCCAATTTTTTGACTTTATCTAACCATAATATATATATATATATATATATTTATATTATAATGTTATTTAATATATCAAATACAATCTAAAATTATCAAATATATTCAAATATTATATTTTAAAGAAATTATTTTGAGGGTAAAATATTGATGAGAAGAAAGAATTTGCAAACAATTGTTGTCAAAAGACCAAATTGAGTAAAATGCAAAGTTTATGGACTAAATAAAAAAGATAGTATATTTTTAGTTAAAAATAACAGTTAAAGTTACATAGGTATTTTATTGTGATATATGAGCATGTGGTTCAAATTTGGTAACAAAAAGTGACTTAAAATAAATCACAAATTGAAGGAATAAGGAGATTATGAAAAATTGAATGACTAGATTGAAAAATAAAAAGATTATTATCAAAAAGAGGAATTGAAAGTACACATGTATTCTATTAAGGTTTAGGAGCATGTGGCTCAAATTTGATTAAAAAATGACTTAAAATAAATGACGAATTGAAAAAAATAATAAGATTATGAAAAATTGAAGAATTAAATTAAAAAAATAAAACAATTGTTATCAAAAAGAGGAATTGAAAGTATACATGTATTCTATTATGTTTTAGGAGCATGTGGTTCAAATTTGATAAAAAAGTAGACTTAAAATGAAGGACGAATTGAATAAATAATGAAATCAGGGACTAAATTATAAAATGGTCAAAGTACTGGGGTCAAATTTTTTGTTTTTCGAATAACTCAAAAATTCAAAATTTCAAGTCGACTCGAACTTAAAAATAGAATTTATAATTCGAATTGACTCGAATACTCTAAATTGAATTTTTTTTTTTTTTCGAGTAGAATTTTGATCACCCCTATGGGTGATAAAATAACTTAGCGATCCCACGACGACGTCGTTGCACCTAGTAGAAATTATGTCATTTGGGCTCTGGTGTCTGAACGCTCTGTTCTGAATATTTTTCGATGTTATAATTAATGCAACTAGAATTATTCATTATAAATAAATAGAACTGATGAAGTAAACAATTAATAAGTCAACTAATTAATCAAATTACACCTGAATTTCATACCATACTTGAATTTAAAACCTCAAAACCCATTCTTTTTATTAAGTTAAGGTGATTACAAAGTAGCATACGTTCTATATATTATCAACCATTTGATAATAAATACTCAATTACACTACTGCAGTTGCTAGTGCTCAAACCTATAACCTCTAAGAATAACAACCCATTCGTTTTAACTTGTTATTACTCTTGTCCAATTTTTATTTAATCATCGGTTTTATTATAAACAAAGACATCTATTTTTAAATGTTCATAATTAAATTAAATGTTCATTATTAAATAAATCAAAATTATAGTATGTTTCATATTATTTATTCAACTAAAACTAACGTTTAATTTTAATATTTATCCTTTTACGTATTATATATTACTATTTTAAATATATGATATTTCGGCCTTGCCAATTCGATCAGCTACAAATTAATTTTTAAATCTTTGGATATCAATTGTGTTTCTATTAATTTAATTTTAATTTAATATTGATTAACTAAATTGAATGTTAAACGACCCTTTTAGTCCATTTTTGATGTGAATGCACGTTTTAATCTATTTTGAATGTAAATACATGTTGAGATGCTATCATAGACGTTATCGGTTTCAAATAAGAACATATAGCTCGGATCTAAAATAAAGTGTCAATAAGACTCAAACACGTGTGTTCACAATCCGGTTCAACGACGAGATGACCGAAAAGACTCGATTGATACGATGCCAATATTTCGAGGATTCAATCAAAACATTTGACATCAACTTTATATGAATTGAAGGATTCTCAAAGGTTGTAGAGAGCTAGAAACTAAATTATAATCACCAATCTGTTTTATGCCAATGAGCAAGACATCAAAAATTCGAAATCAAACCGAAGACGGAAGAACCATTTCCGACATCCATTACCTAAACAAATAGTAGATGGAACAACCGACGTTCTTAATCCCGATTCAACTTGTTCGAGTTCAAATGGTTTCTACGATGAAGGCGTAAACATGTGTCCCTAAGGAAAACAACGAATAGAAAATACAAGATCGGGTTGGAATCTTCCTACCGGATGAGAAACTTTACAGAGAGATGCAAAATAGTGTTCGAGTAGTTTGTGGCCGTAACCAAAAAAAAAAAAATCCGGCGAGTAGCTACAACGATGGTACACATGAAGACGGCGGGAAGGGATCAAATCTGGTACAAAATAAATATAGACCGAATTAGTTACCCGCTATACTGCTCCTACTCTCGTTTAATTTGAAGTATTTTTGTCCCAAAACATGTTGGGCATGTATAAGACATGGGCACAGGAACAAGACATTTCAAATAAAAAAGAAACTAGGAAAAAGTTGAACACATTTTTTGTCAAATACATATTCATATTCGAAACTCAAACCCGGCATAGATTCGTAAAATCAGCATTGCGTTTTTGTTCACTTTTGTTTCTTAAATTTTAGTGAAAAAGACCTCAATGCATTCACTTTTTCAAGCTAAACTCCTCGGGAATTATAGTTCTTGTCTTGAAATGTCAATAGAGTGAAGGAAACTAACCATCAAAGCTGAGCTGCGAGTCAACTGAACAGGCTTTATCGATAACACTAGCATTCTAAAGCATATGTTGGGACCTACAACAATATTAAAATAATTAGGTTGATTTCAAAACTATGATTGGAAAGAAAACCCAATAAACTCTCGGTGATTTAATCGTTCTCAAGAAAATCGGATATAATCAGGGTGATTTCTATCGTTCTACAGCAAATAGGAGGACCGAATAATCCCACTAATGGAAATCAGTCTATGTATCAGACGAATTCAAACTAAAAAGATATGAAAGAGCAATAACATTGGCTTGTTCAAAGAGAGATCATAACGGGAATAAGTCGATGTATTAAATTTTAAATGAGCCTCATTGACACACACAAACATATATGAAATTTATCAGTAATCACGAGGAATTCGAGAAAAATAAACCTGCAAACTTGGGCCTCCTACCTCGAGCATATTTTCATCAAGAAAACCGGATGTGTTATGTCTCAAACCATTTGAACTATCATACTGGAGAATCCTTAGCTTTCCTTCCTGCGTTGGGAAATGTAGAAATTTGGAATAATTAGTCGCCCGCCAGACAAAAAAAAAAAAGGATTAGCACCAAAAACACAAATATGAAATTCATTGAAATGTCAATTGCCGACCTTTGTTCCATATACAAGGCCACCGCCGATAGAGGGATGAAAGCAAGCCACGTTTACCTCATCCTCTACGCTTGGAAGAACTCTCACAAGCTCCATATCAGAAACTCTGTACACCTGAGTAATGAAGTAAAGCACGAACACAACACAAGACAACGTGATAGAATTAGATTTTATATTATTAAAACAATACCACAATCAGATGGATGAACATTTATAAAAAATACGGTTTAAACAGAGACAGTAGCTGTGATTGAGTGTTATGGGGACATGCATTAAACATTTAAATGTCTTCCAACATCCAGGAGAAAAACAATTCTCGATCAATTAATAAAGCCGAGGCAACTGAACCACAAAAAACATAGATAAAGAAAATCACAAGCTTTTACCTCCAGAATGGTGTAAATGGGCACCGTGGTCTGTCCATCTATTACCAAACTTTTGAGAAGTGAGCTGTGGCGACGACCATAAGCAAGTAATATATGCTCGGATGTGGGTGAAAACTGCAAATTAGAAAACGTTCATATATTACAACTTTGCAACTGTTTCACATACAGCGGTATGCAGGTGTCTCCTAAATATGCATGGACATCCCATAGCACAAAAAGCCACAAATCCCAACAAAAACAAGATTTCATTTAATGAACTGAATAGAATAATCTACACAAAAAGGTGAACGGGGAGCGAGAGTTGGACCTGAATAGATGTTAAGCAGTGAGCAGCTCTTATTGCCCGTGAAGCAAGCGCCAATCCAAATCTGCACAAAAAGACCATCAAAATTACAAAGATTAATAATATAAACTGTAAGCAGAAGCGAGGGTAGGAATATGGAGAATAGATTAAAAAATCGGAATTTACGTGGCCTCCTCAAGCGAATATATACGAAGCTCATACACAACTCGATGTGCTAAAATTGGGTGGCGTGTGGGTGATGCTGCAACTCCTGCAACATCAGAATTAAGCTGGCTCTGGACTCCGGGATCGGCTTCCAAATGAGGAAGCATACAGGCAACGCAGGCTGCCAAAAATCTCCCACAAGGTGAAAAATGTGCACCCATTTCACTGCAATTATGTTTTTAGATAACAGTTTAAAGAATATCAGTGATATTTTGCAGCATACATAAGATCATAGCAACAACAGGATACCAAAGGAGATCACTTCCAGAAGAAGCTGAAATACAGGCAATAGAATAATTAATAGAAAATGCCTTCTCCAAACTACGTGGCAAAACACACACCTACAAAGCACAGCATGCGGAATGGTCAAGCGACATTTCTCTGGTTCAAGGAAAGCACAAGGATCTTTCATATCATGTGGCCATATTCTAAGTTTAACAGTGCAAGGAAGTTCTGCTGCTGCTGCAGACGCAAGAGATGTGGCAAGTTCAGATTGAATTCTGCTGGCAGCAGGTTGAGGATCACTACCATCATGTATGATGTTGCTAAAACCAGATTCTGCAGTTCCGCCTAAGGAGACCATGCGAGAACGTGAAGAACGATGCCGTGAACTTGATCTTCCATGAACTCTTGAGTGGCCAACACTCGTGGCCATACCTGAGGAAGCTACTGAAGCAGAAGTTCCTGTATCACCAGCTGGAAGCGAGTTATCATGACCATCGCCAGTAGCCAAACGCATATTGCGCTGACCAGCTTGAGTCTGACCGATTAACCATCCTTGCAAGAAAGGTAGCTCCCATGAGGTTGGATCACCAAAAGGGAAAAATTGAATAGTTCTCTCCACTGATTGCACCTCCATTGTCTCCATGGGCTCCATTGCAGAATAGGAAACATCAGTTTCCATCTCAGTTGGTAAAGGATTGCCTCCTGTTTCTTCGGGCAATGGAGAAGAGCTATTGGGTTCAACAGGAGACAACAAAAGCTCATACTGCCCTGTTGGAGTTGAATAGGTCAGAAGCCGTACTGAAGCTGATTGATCACCTCTCTGACGCACACCATTTGAACCAACGTTACCATCAGTATTCTGCAAAGATGTTCTTCCATTATCTCTAGAAAATGATGGCCATATCATGGAAGGTAAAGACATTAGAGGTAGTTCATTTGTCAAATTAGATCGATCATTTGCCAAATATACAGTTGGGGCTGGATAACACAAGTAACCAGGAGAAGTTGCCACTGTCATTGATGAATCAGGTGCATCAAGATCATTGACCTGCAAATCAGCCAGAAATCTAATTAGTATGAGAGTAGACTAAAGTACATAATCAATTTGAAAGAACTGACATTTCACCTCAGCAGTCAAAAGAAATGGAGCCGCGTATGGATGAAAATGTACAGCTCGAAGAGAACGTCGTGTCTTCAGTATAATAGAATGAGATGATGTCTCTCCTCTCCTATTGTAATGCCATATGTATAACTGATGAACAGCTCAAAAGTCAGACAGTCATGTATCGATCCAAATAAAGTGGTTCACATATATGGAACAATCAGCATCACCTTATGCCCTGAGGCTACTGCAAGAACTTCCCCTTGAGCATGGAAAGCAATAGATGCAATAGGGCGGTCTGCATTAAGGATAGAAATAAGAAATAACACAGAGCATAAACACATTATTGTGTTCTCAATGTAAAATTACAAAGGGAAATCCACAAGAGTAATTACAGAAATCACGTGTTCCTATACACTCAGCAGTATTTGCATTCCACAAGCGAACTTCATGATCCAAACTTCCACTTGCAAGTATCTCCGGATACAATGGATGGAACCTAACCTGCAAATTTTCAGCATCGCAAAATATTAACGCATGCTCTACCATGAGGATCCAAATTGCAAAATCATTTAGGCATTCAAGAAAAAGAAAGGATCAAGTAAATTAACTAAAAAATCTAATTATATTGTTGTCTTCAGCTGAATCAAAGATCTGAAAATGCATTTACAAAATACAAACTCAAAAGCATCAAAGTGATCTTATGGATGCATACAGATGAATTGAGCAGCATTGTTTTATACAGTTAGTATTTTTATCAATCCAGTTAGGTTCAAGTGGCAGATAGGCATTAATAAAATTTAAGAGGCAAAAAGTTACAGCCTCACCACCCAAGGCGTCCTGCGATGACCACTCAACACCTTCAAACAGTTTCCAGTCTGGCAATCGATAATCTTAACTGTATGATCTCCACTGCAGGACCAAAATGCAAGTAAAATATGTATCAAATCTTAGGGTGAAGCTAACTGGACACCTGCTTAGACTGATAAATACTGGAAAAAGTAACTCACTGCGTAGAAGCAAGCGTTTTCCCATCAGGACTAAAGGCTGCTGCAATAGTAGACCTCGGAGGAGGCAACAATGGGCAGTATTTTGCCGAAAAGTGCTGCAACGACTCTGCCTCTGCCCTGCAACCCCATTGAATTGCGATAAAATTTATTAGGATCCCTACTATAAGATAGGAACAAAGTTTTATGAGTCACACATGAACACATGACGATAAAAAGAATGGACCACAAAGTAGAATATAAAACTCAGTAGCTTCCACTAACAAAATTGTGAAAGGAAGTGGAAAAGATGGTATTACCAGGAAAGAAGATCAGATCTTGCATCTCTTGTTGCCTGACATTGTGGCCCAAAGGAATCAGGACGGCTCTTTGACCCTTCTCCCCATAACTTTCGTGATGACCGCTTGGTTCGTGGAGAAACTTCTCTCCGTGCCAATAACTGAAAAACATTGCTAGTGCAAGAAAAAACATAAAAAGATCTTATTCAGCATAAGCATGAAATATCAAAATTATGTACTCAAATCAATATAAATGCAACAGTGGACAATTCAAACCTAAATATATACAGCTCAATGAGCGTAGAGCAATTTAAAATAGCTGAATCGGTAGATATCTCAGCTGACTTCATTAAATGTAACAAATCTGGTAACATTTATGTATTAATTTTATCTGCTTAGGAGGGAATAACATGTTCCATAGACACCTTTCTTGCAATTAAACCATAGATCTCTTAGGGGCCGTTTGGTTCACGGCATATAACATTACCGGGGGAATTAAATCCTCATTCTCCCGTTTGGTTGGCCGATAATCTTATTCCCGGTAATCTTTTATTACCAACAGAGGATTTTTTTGGGTATATTACCGGGAATGTGATTACCCGCCTTCCCTGAGGAATTGCTGGATTACTGGCGTTTTGGACTAAAATGCCCTTAATTCTTTTTTTCAAAATTATCATTTTTCTTTCGTTGAATAATAAAAATTCTACGAAGGTTAAATTACAAATTTATCCTTAAACTATTTTAGATTTACAAAAAAAAGTTCATAATTATAATTTTCTGGGTTAAAATAAAATTTTACATTTTTATTAAACCTATTTATCTTTTCAATTTTGTAAAAAAATTATATAAATTTTATGAATTTAAAATTTTTAAAGAAAATATATAAATTAATTATAGTAATATTATAGTAGAATTCAACTTGCATTCTTACTAAACCAACCAAACACAAAATACAACGTTCCCAGTAATACTATTTACCGGTAATATTTTATTCTCATTGCTAATCTTACATTCCGTGAATCAAACGCACGCCTATAGTAATTTGGCCAAAAAATGAATCTAGTTAAAAAAATATCACCAATTCTTTATGGCATTGTTTTATCTGAATTGGTTGAAAATTCTCGACAGTTCATAAACATTCAAAAGAACTATGCTTAGATCAAGAAAATAGCATCGAAGTTTCAAGCATTCAAATCTGTTCTATAACATGATTGGGGGGGATTCCAGCTTGATTCCAAAACTAATAAAAAATCCAGCATAAATCAACTCAAACTTCAAAATTCAACATGAAAGCAAATAAAATCCCAAACTAAACCGCATTTTCTAATCAATACGGAACGAGATCCAATATTTACATCAAAATTCCGCGAAAACTATCATAATCCTCACCATCAGAATCCAAAAGAGTATTCCTAGAATTCAAATTCAAATCCAATTCCAATACCCCTAACAAAAAGAAAAAACGAAATCAGGCTCGAAATTCATTGGCATAAAACGTTTTACCTGGTCCTCCGCGAGCTAGAACCGGCTGGTGCATTCAAATATTCGGTTCGTACCGAATAATCTCTCATGATTCGCCGAAGTTTTTCAAGCTTCAATATGTCTCGCCATTTTATTAAAAAGAAATAAAAAAAAGGCTGAGAAATATTCTTTCCTTCTGTTTAAAAATAGAGGGCTAAGGAATTAGGTTTCGAATTTGTCAGTCGATCAGTGTTGACTATTATTATTAGTTGAATTTTTTAAAAGAAATAATTTATTTTTTCCTCGGTAAGATCACTCTGTTTGTTTCTGGGGAAAACCTAGAAATAAATAGAAGAAAATAATGCTTCGTGGCTTCACACCTTTGAGCTTTACTTATAAGATTTCTTCTTTATGGTTTGGTCGGTGTTGATTATTCAATTAGGAAAAATTACAAAACGATGCGTTTTGGGCTTTGGATCGACTCCAATGATGCAAATGTCCGGTTAAAATGTGCCCACAATTTAGAATTATTCAATTATTATATAAAAAAACAATTCAATTATTTTATTAAACTCGTTGATAATTCATTCTAAATTTCATATATAAAAATATGTATAAAACAAACAAATTATAATTATATGGGTAAATTATGAGTTTAGTACCTAAACTATTGATTTTGATATACTTTTGTACCTAAACTTTCTATCTTTTCAAAACTATATTTAAAGTTTAGTTTTGTTTCATATTAGTACCCCATTCAAAATTTAATGTTAAAGTTTTGGAAAAAAAAAGTGAAAGTTAAAGGAACTAAAGCGAACCAAAACTGATAGTTTAGGTACTAAATGCATTAAGGTTTTAACAGCGGTTACTAAAATGAAACAAAAACTAAACGTTAAATATGATTTTGAAAATTTGAAAGTTTAGGTACTAAGACGAACCAAAATTGATAGTTTAGATACTAAATGCATAATTTAGCCTTATTATTATTATGAAGTTGGGAAAAAACAATATAAGAAATCACATATCACATAAATTTTACATAAAAATTTAAACATAAAAATTATGTAGATAAAAGGAATTCACTCGGAAATTGTATAAGAGGAGCTATTAAACTAATATCGTAATCTAGAAAACCGCCTTTTATATATATATATATTTAATCACTCAATTATTTTTTTAATATTATATATTATGGTGACCCATTAACATTGTCATTAATTATAAAACAACAAGTGACTAAAACGTAATGTTAAATATAATTTAGAAAACAGTTACATAACAAAAACATAATTACGTGAATAGTTAAATGACTAAATATGTAATTTAACAAAATTGATGTCAATCAACTAAAAAGAATCGGTTATTAAAACTTTTTGAGATAGGGCAACTTTAATATGTTCCAACTTTGCTTTCAACACATATTGATCATCAAATGAGGGTCAAATTTATCAAAGAATCATCGAAAGATCATACTCATGCACTCATTTCCAGACGTATGTCGAACATAAATACTTAGAGCAAAACAAAGAATCGTGGCGACACAGATCCGGAGATCCGACACGATCGATTCGATTACACGAGTCATTGTTATTAAAGAACAGAAGCCAACAGTTCTAAATCAATTAGACAAAAACACTGACTAAAAAACAAGATATTCAATCATACAGGGATCAATAAAGATTTTTCTCACCTTCATGCATGATCTCGTATGCAAGTCTATATTTCTCTACAGATAATACAAGCTGTTTCTCTCAAACTCCAGACCATAATGGCCTTCAGTTCTTGGGAGATTACCCCGGACTCGCACCGCATAGGATGCGGTACTCGGCGTTCCTCAACCACCGAGGTAAGATATATCGAGAAGGAAGTTCTCTTATGTTCAACAATTTGAATACCTTCAATACATGTCTGCATAGTACACCTTCGAATTCGAACATCTGACAGCTACAATTAAAACTCAGGTTGACTGCACTAAAGGTGACGGCGTGTTTGTCGTTCTCGTTCCCGGACCGTCTTACCAGGTACCGGCAAATCGTCCCTTCTTTGTATGTCTTTATCCCAACATAACTATAGGATTGTAGAAGCTCCTCTTGGAATATTTTGTAGAGCCTCCTACACCGTTCTTCTATTGCTTCTTTTGTTTGTGAGAAGACCTGTATATTGAAAGAGTTTAAATCTTCTTTCCTTTCCTCCTCACGTCGTTGTTCGAGTCCTTGTTCGCATCGGAGAATACACTCCCTTAGTGGAGTTTGCCCATTTACCTGTGTGCCGAAGAATGATTCAACACTTTCACCTATAGGGATGCCGGCAAACAATTTGCCCCGTAAATACAACGGAACCCAGCTTTCACGCTTATTGTACATTTGCTGTAACCAAACATTTCCCTTCAAGCTGTATTTATTGATAAGTGAATTCCATGTGGTGTTGAACTCCACAGTCGTCTGACTTCCATAGATGCACTTTTCGTACTCGTATATGAATTCAATAGGCATTGACCGCAGATTCTCCTGCTCCTTGGCTCTAATCTGCCACGGTGAAAAGCGATGATGAGTACCAGGAGAGACTTAGGTGATTGCTTGCTGGATGGCCATGTCTTGATCGGCAATAATAAACTTAGGATGGCACCGAGACATTGCCTTAAACCACGTTTGAGACAACCAAGTAAAGCACTGCTTCGATTCATCAGCAATCAAAACAGGTCCAAGAAGTACAGGCTGCTTGTGGTGGTTTACTCTGACGAATGTGGCAAACGGCACCTCACAGTTACTTTTCCTGTATGAAGTATCGAAAATAATGACATCACAGAATTGACTGCATGAATATCAAGACCTGCCATCCGCCCAAAAGACACTCCGGCAACTACCGTTGTCAACCTCCACCGAATAAAAGAATCCGGTATCTTCTGCTTGTCTGGTTTGAAAGTACTCTAAAAGTACAGGGTACCAATCAGTTCCAATTTTTTTCTCGGCTTCTTTTGTTAATCTTGCTCTTATTCGTTTCACCGAGATCCATAGAGACCATGCCATTGGTTTCTTCCTCTATGAATTTCTTCGAAGCTGTGGAAAATTTCTTCTGCCACACCATTTGCACTTCGAGATCATGATTATGATCTTTATCGAGACGATCTACCATCCAGCTTCCCCAGTCTTTCCTCTTAATCCTCATAAATGCCCCACAACCTACTCTCGAGGGATCCTGGAAACCTTCCTTCGAGCACACAAATCTTCGCGAAGTAATTGACCCGTCATTCTTTGAGCGAAACAACTGACCTCAAGCAACTTGAGGACCTAAATTTGCGTTTCCGTGAAAGCTTGACTGATGTAGGATTGGTCGAGTTGGCAAACCAGTGTGGGAAATCATTGAAATCCCTCGGTGTGGCTGCTTGTTCCATAATAACCGACAAGTCACTGGAAGCTGTGGGGTCCCATGGCAAATCTCTTGAGACATTGTCATTGGATTCCCGATTCCAAGCTTATCAGCAATAAGGGGATCACTGCTATTGCCCAAGGATGTCCTCTTTTGAAAGTCTTGAAGTTACAGTGTGTTAACGTTACAGACTGGGCTTTGATGGCTGTGGGGTTTCTTGTTTGTTATTGGAAATGTTGGCCTTGTACAGTTTCCAGCAGTTTACAGACGAGTTCGTCACTTTTCCCTATTTTCTCATGCAATGCGATTGAATACCACCCTAATTGAATTGCATTGTTGAAGGCTATTTCGCCAATTAGTTTTTTCCCCTCTAATTCATTTTAGGAATGAAAGTGGGTCTTTCTCTAAATTTTTTTGTCTAATTCAGTTGTCTTTGTTTTACCATGTTTCATATAGATGGATGACTATTGAAGTATGAGTTTCATTCATGTCACAGGGGCAATTGCTTTGAGTGATCGCAATTTCCTGGGTGAGAGGGGTCTGGAGGCAATTGCTTCTGGCTGCACTGAATTTACGCATCTTGAAGTTAATGGCTGCCACAATATTGGAACCATTGGACTGGAGTCTGTGGGGAAATCCTGCCCGTATGTTTGTCTTCTATTGCTTTCCCTTGCTACCTATTCCCTTGCCCTTATGTTTATCTTCTATTAGATGTAGCTAGGTCTCATATCCAATCCTTCTGATTGATTGTGAGGCTTACTGTACGCTTTTTTTTTCTGAAAATTTTGAACTATATCGATTCTGAAGTTCTTGACTTTGTGAAGGCGCCTGACTGAGTTGCCTTTATTATACTGCAAAAGGATTGGTAATTTTGCTCTTACTGAAGTTGGAAGGGGATTTAAACACTTGCAAGCTCTTCACTTGGTAGATTGCTCTAGCCTTGGCGATGAAGCCATTTGCAGTATAGCAAAAGGTTGCCGAAATCTAAAGAAACTTCAGATTAGGGGATGTTATGAGGTCTCTCTCTCTCTCTCTCTCGCTCTCACTCACTATCTGTCTGTCTGTCTGTCTACATATTTATGGGGGTATTCCTCAACCTGCAATATGCTTGAACCACTAGTACCGATTTAATCAGGAAAAGACTTTGGCAGTTGAATGGAATAGAGGAAATATATCATCTAGATTTTTCAGAGTGCTCTTCCTCCTCTTCCCGCTCTCCTCCCTGTATCTTGCTACAGTCTCATGCAGGAAGCTTTTCGATTCTCTGTAAAATGGCAGTTGGGTGGTTTATTGTTTAAAGAATGTTGTATGATTCAAAATATTTGAAGTGAGAATTTCACATGTATCTAATTGCCTCATCTTTTGAGTCTTTGCAATTGTAGACTTGCTTCTTTTAGGTGCTGGCAATCGTTTATTTTTAAGTTTCCGCAATGTCCATACAGTGATATAAATCCTTAACTTGTATGCCTTTCATGCCAATAGGTTGGAAGCAAGGGAATCATAGCTGTTGGTGAGAATTGTCACTCTCTCACAGATCTTAGTCTCCGCTTTTGTGATAGGTGCGTCTGTTTGTACTTTCCTTCCAGCCTTGTGTGATAATGCTATTTGTCGACGCTGTTTCATGTGGTCAGCTGTCTTTTGAGTTGTTTTGGTCTGAAATATGGTGTATGCATATGGTCTGTGTAGACCTCTAATTAAGACATCAAAGTTGTGCAGTAAACAAAGCTGATCTCATCTCAAACAACCTAACCTAACGTGAATTTTTAAGGTTTTGCTATAAAAAAAAAGGGTTTTTTTTCAAGTTATTTCACGTATCAAGCCTTGTATTGTATGATTTTTTTCCATAAATATCTCTTTTGTGAAGTTTTTTACCCTTCTTTTATGATTTTGTTATTAGAGGCCGTGAATTTGAGCTTATTATCTTTCAATTTAG